CAAGCAAGCACTTACCTTGATGCTATTCATGTCCAAATGGTGCCCAAGAAGTTGTTGAAGAATCAAACATTGTGCAACAAAAAGGGTATTTTGGTCGGTTAGCAATAATTTCCTTTCCATTTTTAATAGATTTATAGACCAAACTATTATAAACAACAAGGGAACTAATAACCAAGTAAATGTAAACTCAATTAGATTAAATATACAAAACTTTAAACAAATAGTTACGTGCATACACACATGATCCATTGCAATTACCTATCTATTTTTCAATTAATAATGAACAAAAGTCATCAAGTTTTGAATTATAAAAAAACAAAAAACAAAAAAAAAACAAAAAAACTATACAACATATTTCCAACAATAAATTTTAGAAAGATTATTACCATTCATCATGAAGCACCAATTTAATTATTATTATTCTCAATTTTTGACAAATAACTACTTTTTTTTAGAACAAATAAGAGATCAATTACACAATGAAAATGATCCTTAAAGCCTACATGCTTGGAATATTTGTTCTTTTCTCACAGCTCGTTCCCACAAAGCAAATTGTAAAAATATCATATATTGCCTAAATTAAATAATATTATGAATAGAAACAAAGTATATTGCCTAAATTTGATAAAAAAAAAAAGTAATGTATGTTGTCGTTACATGTTACGCTAAATCTTAAGTTATTCAATACATGAAAAGAACTCATGCTTGCTCTTCACAGATCCCATCCTGCAATAGCATATACGCTCATACAAAAACTTACATGTCATCAAGAAAATCTTATCATCAAACAATTTAAAATCTACTAACACAGGGTGTGAAAGTAGAATAATACCCTATGGGGCAAGGGATCTAGTTACACAAACTGGACACCATAACTATCAAGATTGAAGAATGAATCACATACTTTGGCAATAATCATCTTAAATTGACAAATCTAAAACCTTTACAAAGTTTTGCAATTTGAAATATCACCATTCCAGATTAAAACACAATGAAGTATAATCAAATAATTATATGTTTTTTCTCCAGAGTTATAAGTTATATCTGATTCATTCCTTCTGTACACACAAAACATAAAAAATATAAAGATTATCAATTACCTTTGATAAAGGTGAAACTAGGGTTCAACAATCCGATTTCACCAGCGGAAATCATCATGGTCATGAGTTATCTGCAAAAAGGGGCAGTTTTCAGAAAGCTTGGTAGAAATAGAGGTGTTTCAAATGTCTTTGTAGAAATGGGGCTCCTGGCCCACTGAATAAATACGTAAATGAAATGTATATTGAAATGAAGGATCCCTCACAACTTACAACAATGGTCCTTTCTTTATTATTATATGTATAAATTTTATCCTTTTAAATATATTTTTTCTACATTTACCTAACTATTTACCTAATTTATGTAGCTTAAATATATTATTAAATTTTATATATAACATTTAATTGTTCTTACTACACAAACGATCTCATTTATATTCCAAAATTTTAGAATATTATATACGATTTTAATTATACAAATACAATTAACATATAAATATTGTTAGAATCATATAAATTAAAAAATAAATAGTAATATGTATATATGATTTGTCCAATCAAATACTGAATCTGTAAAAGCAAACACTCTATCCAAAACAAAAGCAACACTCTATCCAAAATTAAATGGCACTATTTATTGAAAACTCTTAAAAAGCTAAAGCTGCATGAACTGTCATGTCTAAAAATTTTAATTGAACTCAATTTACTTTTTGATGCTATAAATTTGATCTTACGAGCCAAGGTTTTTCATCATTCTTACAAAATTGTTTCCACACAATTATACATTATCAGTCTTTCATGCTTCCATAATATTCACATGATTAGTTCTTTCATATATTTAACATAAGGTAGATATAATTTCTAAATATTTTTGCATATTTTTTTGTCAAAACGCTATATATATATATATATATACATATATATATATATATATATATATATATATATATATATATATATGATACTAATTTGCATCTATTATCATACAATTTGTCTTGCAGTTATATTTATGGCTCTAAATCGTCCATTTATGATTACTCTCTATTGGGGTGGCAATGTTGAATATTAGAATGGAATCATCAAGGGCGACGAATCAACTGTGTCTGCTTCAGACATTATTAGGCAAAAAATACGGTATGAACAATTTCAAGATTTGGTTTATGCGCTTGTTGGAGTCGAAAAATCTTCATATAAGTTGAATATGTCATTATGTTACCAATATTCTGGGAGATCTAATATCGCACCACTTATAAATGATTCAACCTTAGAAATGTTGTATTATTTAGCTGAGACTGATGAAAATTATTAGGGTCAAGTTTGTGTTGAAATTGAGAAAATAGTGATACCTACAAATACTAGTTTGGTAGATCTCCTTCGTAATTTTGAAGTACCATTTCCTTTATCGAGTGATGATAGATTTGAGCCAAATAATGAGTTTGGATTTGATGATCCCAACTCAGAATGCATTAGTGAGTCATTAAGCCATATTGAGGAAGACTCGGATGATGTGAGTGACAATCTAGTTGTAGACTTTATGAATGATGTTGGAAATATAGGAGATGATGTTGTAGAAAATTTAGAGGACGAAGTTCATATAGATTTTTGGAAGGAAACAGAAAACAAAATTAGGTTAGGAATGCAAAATGAAAGTAAGCAACATGTGAAAAATACAGTAAAACTTTGGTCTATCAGTCAAAATAGAGAGTTTAAGGTGTATGAAAGTAAACATAACAAATGTGTAGCAAAATGTAAGACTGAGGTGGGTGAAGGAGAAACCTCTAGTTCTATGCACCATACACAACCTTGTCAATGGTATATCCGTGCAATTAAGAAGAAAAATAATCATATATGGCAGATTACATGTTGGGTGGATGAACATAATTGTTTTGGATCTTGTATTGGCAATAATAACAGATATCTAAACTCTAGAGTTATTGCCTCATACATTCTCCATTCAATTCAAAAAGATGTTGCTTACCCGGTGAAACATGTACAAGCATATATAAAAGATCATTTTCATGTTGACGTTTCTTATTGGAAGGCATGACATGGAAGAAGAAAAGCCATAGTGACCATTTATGGAACTTGGGAGAGTAACTTTGTTGAGTTACCCAAGTATGTTGCAGCTTTACAGGCTTCAAACCCTGATTCAATTGTCAAGTGGTTTCATAACCAAAATAGCTCATCACAAGTGGCAAAATTCAAATATATTTTTTGGGCTTCTGGACCAGCTATTAAAGCATTTCATTTGTGTCGCCCTGTAAATTCTATCGATGGTGCTCATTTGAAGGGTTCTTACAAAGGAAAATGGCTTGTTGCTGCTTCAAAAGATGCTAACAATAATATATTACCAATTTCTTATGCCATTGTTGACGACGAGACAGTTAATAGTTGGTGTTGGTTTTTGGGTCATTTTAGAAATTTTTTTGCTCCAAATAGACAATTATGTGTTCTTTCTGATATACACAAAGGAATCAATCATGCAATGGAAAATCTAGAGGAGTGGAAAGAGCCATTAGCATACCATCGTTTTTGTCTGAGGCATGTCAGAAGTAATCTCATGAAAAGGTACAAGAATGTGAGCCTTAAAAAAATTTGTTGGTCTATGGGTAGCACCACACAAAAAAAGGAAGTTTGATAAGTATATAAGGGAAATAAAAGCAATTAATATGGAAGCTTGGCAGTATTTGAGGGAAATTAAAAGAAGTCAATGGTCTCTTTTATATGATGAAAATCACCGATGGGGTTTCTTAACGACCAATATCTCTGAGAGTATGAACAATGCATTACGAGGAGCAAGACAATTGCCAATTAGGGCGTGTATTGACCTTACATTCAATAGAACTATGCAAATTTTCAGAAAGCATAGTGGTATTGCAATGAACTGCATTACACCTCTACCAAAATGTATGTGGCGTCTCTTTCTTAAACGTGACACTCGTGCACAAAGTCATGTTTTATCTGAGTTTCACTACAATGAAGGTGTTTACAGAGTTGTCACAAGGTCACAGATAAATGGAACCGAAGGAAATACACAAACTATTAATTATTTTCAACATATGTGTACTTGTGGTAAGTGGCAAATAGAGAGATTTCCATGTTCACATGCACTTGCAGTTTGTCGGAATAGAGGAGACAACCCTCTTTCCATTGTGAACAATGTGTACAGTACTATGACATACATACAATAATATAATTGTGGGGTTGTACCACTTCCTCATGCTGATTATTGGTTGGATTCAAACTGGACGATTGAAGCAGATTACTCAAAACTTTATGTTCATCGAGGACGAAGGCGTGCAAATCGAATTCATAATGAGATGGACATTCGTCATCCCGATGAACCTCGCAGATGTACACTATGCCACCAACCAGGTCATAATAGAAGAAATTGTTCAAATTCTCAACCAAGATTCAATGAGTAGTAAACTATGTTTTTGTTTTATTGTGTTGTAATTTCATGTTTCGTTGATCTTGTATTTCCTGTGTGATTTTGTATTATGATTTTTGAATTTTAGTAATGTAATCTTAGTTATTTGTTTTCTTATTTCTTATTTTTATAATATTAAATGTTAGTATTGATGGATATGTATAAATGAGATATATTTGGTATTGAAAACTAATAAGCGTTAGTTATAAATTGAATAATATATTTACATTAAATATTATTAAATTAAGTAAATGTACAAAATACAAATAAAAAATAAAATAAGATGCAGTGGTAACATATTTCATAAAATAAGGGTCAATGTTTAATATTTTTATGGACTATTTTGTATGTTTAATATTTACATAAATATAATAAGATGTAGTAAAAATGTAGACAAAAATATATAAAAGGATAAAGTTTGAACATATTATAAAAAACTAAGGACTATTGTTGTAAGTTGTGAGGATCCATTATTTCAATATATATTTACGTATTGATTTAGTGGGCCAGGAGCCCCATTTCTACAAAGGCATTCAAAACAACCCCATTTCTACTAACCTTTTTGAAAACTGCCCCCTTTTTGCAAATAACTCCATGGTAATCGGCGTTGGGTTCTTGTCAGCTAATAACCTTATATTTCCATCCTCATTCATTGTCATATCTAACCATACCTGCGTCGTACACTCCACCACTCTATTTATGACCAAATTAAGCGTAAGAGACCTAGAAGTAGCTTGGAGAATGGCTCTTTGTATCAATCTGATTGGAAGGAATAGCGGTGGGAGTGGGAATAAAGATGAGCAACTCCAATCTTGAGCCGATACCTTCATCATCTTCATGAACTGAATTTGTCTTAAGCGATTATTTTTCCAATAGTTCTCAGCACCGATGTACATTGCTGCTTCTTCCTGCTTCCATCTCGATCTCCTCCATAACATAAATTTGTCTTTGGGGAGGTATAAACACAGAGGAAAGAATATGAGCAAACGAAAGCGAAATGTGTATAAATTAAGACTGGGAAACATATAAAAAAAAGGCAAACAAAAAGAGAAGTAGAAAAGAACGGTGGTGGAAGATGGGTATTTCCAAGTGCGATGAAGTTGGTGGAGGCTGAAGGTGGCAGTATAGGTAGCTAAAGCTATATCTTGAGGTCGTGTGTTGTATAACCGAAAAGAGGAAGTAATAATTGGTGGTGACTAGTGGTTTGATCTCGGTGGCAGAATTCGAGAGAATAGTGGATAATCTCAATGGAGAAAAACAGAGAAGATGGAAAGACTGAAGGCATCACACCTGGTTTCACAAACGTTGTTAAAAGTAGGTAAAGCGGTGGGACACTCCAGAGGGAAACGGTAAAAAAAATTAATGTATGAATTGTTCAAAAGAACACTCTACTTTTATTGTATACATAATATAGCTTTAAAAAGTATAGGTTATTTTCTAGAATGTGTATATGATCACAAAACCAAGACTAATAAGTGCATTTGCTGTCCAATAATATGGTTCATTTGCCAATAATTTTAGGATTTTTTGGCCATGTCTAACTAGTCAAAGTTTGTCTATCATGGGTTTTGTAAACATATATGTAGTACTACAACTATTGAGGTACAGGAGCCACAATGTTTGTTTTGGATGTTGATTTTCAGTAATAATACAATTCCATTTGGCCATTGTTCATTTTTCTTGTGTGAAGTCCGTGAAAAAGATGATGACTTGATGAGGGCATCTATGTCAAAATCAATATTTTTTAATGGAGTCTGATGAATGATAATAAATGTAACACCCCATTAATAAATTAAATAAATAACTGCATAGAAGCCCTAAAATCAATAATAATTGAGCAGGGCACAAGTTTCGAGGAGTTAAAAGTCATAATTATAGAAGTTGGGGGTTAAAAGTGTAAAATACGAATTTAATTTGCAAGTATTATGGAAGGCAGGGACTAAATGGTAATTATTGGGGCTTAATTTGAAGAGATTTTGGGAGTTAAGGGGTTGTTTGGTAACTAACGGACTCATTATGAAAAGAATTTTGGGAGCGAGGGTTTAATTGGTAAATTAAGGATTTAAATTGAATGAAAAAGAGAACTAGGAGGTAAATGTGTCATTATGGAGAAAAAGATTAGGGTTCGGGTATATAACCATTAACCTTCCACCGGGAAACCCTAACTCTAAGCAAAAGAAGCAGCCGCCATGCTTGGACCTTCCAACCGCCACCCCTCTTCACCCTCAACCTCCAGCCGCCGCTGTAAGGTCGAGTTCGATCATCACCGCCGTAAGGTCGAGTTCGATCATCACCGCCGTAAGGTCGAGTTCGATTATTTCCGCCGTTGAAGACGAGGAGCCACGACCCGATGCGGGTTGGTCGGGAGATCAAGGATTGTGCTGCTGTTCACTATTTGGGTTGCCAACCTCCTGCGTCTCCGTTTCTTTCCGCTGTTGCACCATCGCTGCTCTTGGCCGATGTCTCGCCGCATTTTGGTTGCCTCCGCCACTCACAGAACTCTTTCCGCTACTCTGGACAACATCCACCACTTCGAGAGAGGCCGTCGTATACATCTCAAAGTGTAAGTCGTGTGTGTGCGTATGTTCTGCTACGATTCTTGTTTGTTAGGGGTGTTTATCAGTCGGTAACTAAGAAGAACCACCATGGCCGCCAGCCATGGTGGCTGCCATCATTAGCTGCTGTTGTTCCGCTGTTTACCACCCCGATGGGGCTGCTGTGTGTGCTTCGTGTGTGTGTTTTTGTACCTCATCCAATGTGGTGCGTGTTTTAGTCATCACCACCAGAGTGTGGCTAAAGGGTGGGCTGGAAAACGCTAGAAGACCACCATGGCAGCCAACCATGGTGGCTGTCGCCAGGAAAGATCTTCTGCCACCACTAACCACCGTGAAAGGTGGCTAGGAGTGTGTTATGGTGTTAGTGCCCATGTGTTGTGATGGTTTGAGGCTACAGAAGTATTTCTTGGCTAGAGACCCATAGAAAGACCCCATCGCCACCACTGTGAGGTGGTGGTGGCTGCCGCCATTCGCCACCATCAGCCACCACAAGGTGGCTGTTTGTGCATTTTATTTTTGATGTTTTATTTTGATCTAAGCATTGTAAAATGTAGTTAGAGATTAGTATAATAAAAAGAAAACTCAAACCACCACCTAGGGTGGTGGTTGCCGCCTCTTACCGCCACCGGCCGCTGTGTCGGGTGGCGGTGTGCTTACTTGTGTTAGGATTACTTGTTGGATGTTTTGATAATGGACTAAAACCCTAAAGGGCCTATGAAACCCTAATGGGCCCAATGAAGCCCTAATGGACCTAAAAGCCCAAACATGTGACTAATGGGTGTAATAAACCCTAACTGACCTAAGAAAAACCCTAATGGGCTTAAGGACTTGGTTTTGGGCCTATTAGGCTAAGATGCGATTGGAAACCCTAATTAGGGGTTAGAAAACCCTAATATTAGATTTATGGGCTTGGACTTATAGGGACCCACATTTGGGCCATTTGAATGGAATTATTTATTAAGCCCAATCACACCATATGAGTTATTTAGAAGAGTGATGGACTTAATGGATTAAGTCCTTAATGGGTTAAGTGAGAAACACTTAACCCTAATCATCATTTTATGTGAAACCCTAATTTCACTTGGGTGTTGAGTTGGGCCTTTCCATTGGGCTTTGGTAATTGGATTATGAATGGGCCATCCAAGAATAATCTTATGGACTAGAATATGTTGATGGGCTTAGGATAAGACCCATATGAGGGTTTGGGCTCAATTTGGAAAATTAGGCCATAGATGGGCCATAGTTTGGGCCTTTGTGATTATGAGATATTGGGCCAATAAAAATACCACATTATGGACTAGAATTTTGGTTGGGCCTTAGAATGAGACCATGCAAAGGTTTGGGCCCAATTTGGAAAATTGGGCCATATGTTGGGCTTTGATTCATAGTTGGCTTTGGGCCTATGGATTGGGCATTGGGCTTGAATAAAGCTAAGTTAGGGGTAATGTAGTAATTATCCAAGTATGTATTTATGGTTATGTGTTGGGACCCAATTATTAATTGGGTGTTATTTTGGTGTTAACAGTTCGGGAATTTGTCATCCAGCAGCTGGGGTTGAGTCTGCGGGACTTCAACAATGCAGGGTTAAGTCTGCGGGACTTCAACAATGTGAGGTGAGTTACCTTCCAGTAGGGGTGGGTTCAACACCACAATGTCGTCCCACTAACAGGAGTAGTTGGTAGATAATTTTCTTTATGATAATTATCTTGGTATGTTTATGTGATATGCTTATGAGATATGCTTATGTGATATGCTTATGAGACATGCTTATGTGATATGCTTATGAGATATGCTTATGTGATATGTTTATGGGATATGATATGTGTGTTAGTAGTAGTAGCAGGGAATAGCTTTTCCCTGACTCGGTCGTTAGGACCAAAGGGTAGGTCAGTACCCCAGATATGTCTGACCGTATGATTATATTTTGTTATTATATGATAGAGGTAGGGGCGAAATAGTCCGTGTTGCCAGTTGAGATATACCGGAGGGTAGTCAGCACCCCAGAATGGCTTCACATAGGTAGGTCAGCACCCCAGAATGGCTTGACATGGGTAGGCCAGTACCCCATAATGGCTTGACATGGGTAGGTCAAGCACCCCAGAATGGCTTGATATGGGTAGGTTAGGCACCCTAGAATTGCCTGGAAGTATGTATGTTGTTTGGTATGTGGTATGATGGGGGAACTCACTGAGATTTGTGCTTACGATTTTAGTTTTGGTTTCAGGTACCTCGTTTCAAAGGGAAGGAACCGACTTGATCGCAACGCATCACACCATGTTTTCCACAAACGAGATCCTTGGGATTACACTTTGATATGGTTTTATGATTCTATATTTTGATTATCGACACTCTGGTTTTGAGATGAGATATTATTATGAACATTTTTATACTGGTGCTTTTATGTAATAACTTAATTGAAAACGTAATTTTTGGCCTGTATTTTTGGGATGTTACAAGTTGGTATCAGAGCCTTGGTTTGAGGGATTCGGGCACACTTTCGGGTGTGTCTGAACTCAAACTAAGGACTTGGTTTGAAAATTTTCAAAAGTAAAACCCTTTTATGTAAAGAAGTTTGAAAAGAGTAAAGAACTTTGAAAAGAACAAGGTGTGTGATGCGTGCAGTCAGCCAAGCTCAAGTAAGTTTTCCTCAAGATACCCATACATGTTATGATATGATATGAGATTACTATGAGAATTCCATGCTAAATTAGGGATCAGGATCTAGGAAGGATGCCTTATATGCCTATTGTATGTGCTTCTAGACTTGCATACTAGTACTGATCAGTCAGTAATAGGATAGCCTATTTAGGTTATGCCTTATTGTAAAAGCCTCAAAATTGCATGTACAGATCCCTGAGTAGAGGATAGAAAGGTTTGATTGGAATATGATGGTTAGATTTCCCATTGTCTGAATGCTGATTGCTTTGTGATTTATGGGACTCTTAGCAATGTGAACTAGCTATATTCATGAGGTAGCTACTTGACATTACTGGGAATCTTTCAGAAACTGAGGACGGGATAAGTTCGGAAAGCTAGGAAAACCAATGATATGTTTAAGTGGGTTAGTAGTGAGGCTCATTGAGACTTGGGTGTACCAGTTTGAGGAAGTGACTTGGAGGATCTGGGAGGATTGCTGAGGAAAGTATGGATAGGTGTGGAAGGTAGTATTAGGCATGTACTACTGAAAGCACAAGAGCCATACTCAAATCGGTGAGAGTCTTGGAGAATCTGAGAAGCTTTTGGGAGGACTTTATGATTCAATTTGGCGACAGAGGATTTTCCCGTTGTTGCAGCTTAGCCATTGGCAAGTGAGTTAGTGAGCGTGGCAGGGTGTCAGACCCTAAAGGTTATGAGTTCCACGAGGTTGCAGATGCGGGATCGAT